GGCAAAGAACTTCGGGGAGAAGACCGAGGCCGTCATCCGCGAAGACCACGATGCCGTCCAGCCTGCGCTCTCGAACGTACCTGTGAGGTTCGGGAAAGGTACGGAGGTCAGCATTTGTCAGATATAAGTTGGTGAACCGTATAAGCTAATGACGTCCGCACCCACCTCTCTCAGCAATCACCCACCTTCTATCCCCGCACCCACCTCTCCCTGCACACCCAACCCCTCACGGCGAACGCCCACCCCCTCAACGCGCACACCCAACCCCTCCCCGCACACGCACCTTAGTCCCACGACTCGCATCCGTTGCTCAAGCAGAATTCGCTCGTCCCAATCCTCGGCCATTTCCTCCTCCACGCCCAGATGCGCGATTTCCACCTCGGGATTCTCCGACCCGCTGTCCCCGATAGTAGCCTTCGCGATAATCCGCGCGGTTTCTTCCGTTTTCGTCGCCTCAATCACCACCCACAGCACCGGCGCTTGTACCCGTTTTAGTGAGTTGATCAACCCTAGCATGAGCAGCTGCTGGAAAGTTCGCTTGTAGGTCGGCGTGATGACTATAACGCGGCGAGGAGGGGGAGGACGACAGCCGTCCGTCCTCCTGCGCGAGCAATCTCAGCCGTTCGTTCTCCTGCAGCAGTCTCAACAGCGATTGGCTGACGACCAGCTGACGTGGATCCGGAGACGGGTTCGGCCGGATGAGGATTTCATGACGGCCGGTTTTCACGCCGGCATCCTCATCGTCATCTCCCGCGGGCACTTTTAACGGTCCGTCAGACGTGAAATTCCAGTGTAAAGCCAAGTCCCATTCGCAAGCCAAGGGATCGTGAAATTCTTTCACCACAGGCTTCGGTTGATCATAACGGGACATCGCCGGAGAGATGCCCGTTTCAGCCATCAGAAAGCGGTCTGTAAACGCGTGAGGATCGCCGCTTGGTACCTATATCGAATCGGGCTAAATCGGAGCTGTAGGAGCCTATACTGGAGCCTGGACGGAGGATAAGAATCTCCCTAGCGAGACGTAGGCCGAAGAACATAGCAGCCGAGCAGGCGAAGAAATGAACAGCGACGGGTAACACAAACGCGAGGTGAACCATGAGCCATCTAAAGAGACCTAAGTGATGTATACTATGGAGATGCGAATACGAGTCCATTTGGCTTCGTTTTAGAGCACTACCTTGTCGCATGCCGCCGTGCGACGACTGCGACGACGATTCGTTATTATTCGCCTGATCGGAGTCTGAGGCCGAGCCACTACCACTACGAACTGATACGCGACGGACACGGATCATCAACGCACGAGCAGCTCCCACAACCTTATTTGTCATACAAGCGATGTGCGAACTACTGACCGTAACCTAGTAACCACCTCAACGCGGAATACTACCTTCGAAGCCTAAGACTAGGCTAGGCGCGTTGCGACCAGCGCTTGTTGCGCCGAGACTCCCGCGCCATTGTTCACAAGCCTACCTGAATATGCTTGCTCCTACCCTGGTAATAGGACCACGATAAGCTGACCCAGCCTAAACCGAGAGGGAGGAGACGAGGAGAGCGGAGACGCGGGGAGAGGAGACAGGCCGGCGTAGGAAGCTAGCTGGCTGGTCAAAATCGGGTCAGGGGGAAGGCTTACGCGCTGCTCCGTACCGCACTAAAAAATGACAAGTTAGGCGATTCGTCCTAAATGGACACGGACTAACCTCAAGGGTTAATGTTTGACAGTAACGAGCGAGTAGGCCGGCTCGAGGTCAAGAGCCAAGGCTATCGAGGAGACGTCCGACAAGTCGCACGGCGATTCGTTCCTGCGCTGCGGCTGCTTGCTGAGTTGGCAAGCGCGTCGCTTGTGTTGCGAGGAAAGTGGCTGGCGACAAGGGGGGTATTGCCTGCGAGATGCCTCAACGGAAAGAGGGTCGACGGTCGATCTTGCCAGGGAAACGATTTTTGCCCCTTTTTGCATTCCCTATGGGTTTTATTTGTTTTCTGCCCCGGTCAGGGGCGGGGTTGTTTGTCCGTTGAGGTCTTCTAAGTGGGACAGGCTAGGAGCAAGAATTATAGGGCAAAGAAATGGATTAGGGCAGGCGAGAGAAACAAATATTTCTTGTATGCTTGGCATACGGCCAGCCCAGATTCGTTCCGAGGGATGTGAAACTCCCTATGGAGATAGGCGGGGTATTTTCCTGGGGAGGGGACAAGGGGGAAAAAGGACGGGTTGGGGAGAAGAGGTGGAGCCGGGGATGTGTCGGGAGGAAGCGGGGGGATGTCTGCTGGGTGAGGTGTACAGTACATCGTCTCCCGCCAAATATGACATGACAGTGGTGGGGGGACGGTGTTTGAACGGATAAGATGGAGCAGGGTTGACCTGATCAATAAATCGATGGCTGGTGTAAGGCGGATGCTTTGTAGGGGGACTGGAGGATGCGCCAACCTGGGAGGTTGGCGCTGCTGTTGGCTGACGGTGTGGAGGGGCAGAGGTCGAGGCGCGAAAGTGTGCGCCACAGAAGCGGAAGTGAAACTTTCGATAGTGGATGTAGTGGCGCGGGTACAGTACTTTGCGGATCCCTGTGATTGGTCAAGCACTCGACCCAGCGCTGGACAGATGAGCTGTTTATGTGCGAGACGCAGTCGCGTGCTTACATCGAGTGGATCGGCGGCGGCACCTTCGTTGTCAGAGACGTGCCCAGAACTTGACGTCGCACAAGCGGGTGATTGGTGACGACGACTGTTCGTGTGTCTCCCTTGATCGCAGCGCAAGCTCCACAACAACAGTCGTAAGGAGCTTCTCGATAATACACCACCGAGGTTGAACAGAAGTGTTGTACTCACCCGACCCATTTCCAATAAAAATGAAAACATGCCATTGAATCATTCATGATGTATCTTATATGTAGATCCCTACTGATGAACTGCACCAGTGTTCTCATGGACACAGCACCAGTGTTCTCACGGGCACAGCTTCACCTGATGCTATCTTGGACCCTAAATTATTTCATTGATAACATCTTCAACCCACATGCACCATAAGTCCATATGAAATGTGAAGCCTGGAACACATAAGGTATGTTACTAGATTCTCACACTTTCACCAAAAGTGGAGATTGTAACAATGGGAACCCTGGACGAAAATATAGATGCACCATCATCACAATGCTCTGTGCCTTCATCCCTACGGCACCTGGGATCTGTACCTTGGCGTACCAACCCACTTGAAAAGGGATCAGGCCCAGGAAGGGTTGTGATTAGCGATCCCACGCCAACACCACTAAATCCCACCCCTGGTGCTAAAACAGAGGCAGCTGGAAGGGGCTGCAGTTGAACCAGTGTAATCAGTGGTAGAAGTAGCAGCGTCAACCTGAACAGTGGTTGTGACGGGGTTTGCAGATGCTGTTTGCGTCTGTGAGTTCTCCTGTTGCACGTTGGCGCTCCCCAGCCCTGTTCCGTCTTTCACGGCACGGGCTGCTTGGTTGTTCACCGCCCCCTGATTGTTGATGCTTCCTGCATTGCCCAACTGAAATGGACACAAGAGAAGAGCGTCACACGGAAGGTGGTTCGGATCTTCTTTGTTACTTATCAAGGTGAAGATCGACCGAAGTTAAAATAAAAGGTCCGTCTCGTTCCCCGAGAATGCTTACTTGTTTGTAGTAGACGTTTCCTGCACCTGGACCAACTTGTTTGCGGCTTAAGTGGCCATCCTGAAAGGAAAACACCCAGCAAAAACGAAATCAGTTTGATCGAAACCGGTTGCTTGATGCAGAGTGAGGTAAAGAGGAGCAATGCCTGACCTCTGTGAATCATCACAGCCGTTTACCAAAAATTGCACAAGACGGGATTCAAAGTACTAAACGAGATTTTTTTCGAGTTTATTGAACAAGTAACGCACGAGAAGGTAGAAGACGTCGAAGTGCTCCCATTCGAGCCCCTTTGAGAAGCGTTTGCCAGAACGAAGAGGACGGCCGTCGCCAAGTGATGACTGAAACAAGTAAAGAAACGTCAAGAGGAACTTGAAGTTTCGGAAGCGGAGATTCATGATGGCGGCGTTATAGAGGCTTTCGTGGAGGCAAAGAACACCGAAATGGGACACAAATGGCAGAAATACATTGTCCTTCTCATTATTGTCCCGGAATGACTAAATCTCCACATTATCGGGGGAAAGGGCGAAGGGAGCAGGACAGAGAGCACGCTCGCGTTTTTCTAAAGCTCATGCGAGAAAAATCGAAGTGCCAGTGGCGAGCTAATCAAGACGGAAACGAGTTTCCCTACTATCTGATTTTCCTACTAGGTAACGAGTTGTGCAGGCGGACTAATCAACCAGATGGGGCACGTATTTTCAGCTTAGAATTCTGGTCCGAAAGGTTCAAGCGAAAAAACAAAACGGGTCATATTGTAACCGCGTTGACCTGCCTTGCCGCTCCAGATGCCACAAAAGTGACACCTGAAAGTACTTCAGTTGCGCTTTGAGTCGTAACCACCTCGAACTGGCGGTCGCAACGCAACGATTGTCGAGTTTCAGGCGAGCGTAAACGCCCTCGCAGACTCGTTGAAAGTATCGCCGCACGATTTCGCCTTCATTGGCTGGCGAAATGAAATTGTTTCGAAAGTGCCGTGCGAGGACTTCAAAGCAGACAGAACGAGGTATGTGTACGCTGAACCGAGTAACCGCATTTGAACCGCTCCTCGTGAGTCGGGAACTTTGATCAGCAAAGCCTCGCAGAATTTGTGCACTCTCCGCAATTTCGCAATTCATTATACACCAAATCCGCTACAAGCACGTTTCCGCATCCTACGGAAATTCTTCAGAGGAATCGAAAGTCCTTCGGCAAATGGCGCGAAGGCAGCAATCTCGATCATTTCTTCGGCTCAGATTTAGGAAAATGGTTGGAAAAACTCATGAAATTGTATTCTTATTCGGTCTGTCGTCCCTCCTCATAGCTGTTTTTCCATGCGCGGCTTCGTCAACAGAAGGACAGCAATTTGTAGCCGTTGATTCGGCTGCAAGGCAATGGCCGATGGTGGTGAACGTGTGGCCGTTTCTAGAAGCCAATAGTCGGGCATGGGAGGTGCTGACACGTGGCGGATCCGCACTGGACGCGGTGGTGGAAGGATGTAACGTGTGCGAGGTGCTTCAGTGCGATGGATCAGGTGCCACGTCAGCATGATTAGTATCTCAAGAGCCCTCATTTTAACTTGCGCCGACCACTTATCTCGTCCAATCTCCTCGTGTATCCTCTAGTTTGCCCCCATACACCCCCCTTCTCCTCTCCCTCCTCACACACTCCCTCCCCCCTTCTTCCCCCTCCAGTGGGGTATGGAGGAAGTCCGGACGAGAAGGGGGAAACAACACTCGATGCCATGGTTATGGATGGGGTGAGAGATGGGATGACGTCATGAGCACGCATGGGGTGACGTGGGATGACGTCAAAGTTACTGCATGGGGTGAGATGGGATGATGAAGAGTACCTTATTACCCTTCTTAATCAACTCTTACGTGTAGAAAGTGTATTTTTGAGACGTCTCAAAAATACACTTTCTACACGTGGTAATTACCCTTCTGAATCAACTTTTAAAGCTGTCGCCTACATACTTCCTGCGGGAGGACCAGGTTTATCACTTGAAAACCTGGTAGCACTGAGCTTCGCTCCAAGCTTGAGTGGCGAGGTGCAGTTACTGCTCTCTGACAACCCAATCCCCCCTCTGAAAAGTGGCCAGCTCAGGATTGGCTTACAATTTTCGCGCCAATCTCCTCCCCAATCTCGATTGGTTGAGGGTTGTGGCGAAATCGCGAACACAACCCCAACCTCACGAAATAAGTACCCCCCAACCGAACCATGCACGAAACTGGCGGGATTCGCCAGTTGTGTTTGAAACCTTCGCGCCCTCTTTTCTGGAAAAGGATTATTTCGTGAGCAAATCAGACTGCGTCCTAGGGTGTGCACCCGAAATACCCCCTGAAATTACCATTTCGAATGTAGACCGCAGCTTTAAGGCAACTTGGAACATGTTGAGGCATACACATTTTCGGACAACTGTACCCCCCCACCCCCCTCTCCTCCAGACCTTCCCCTTCGCCCCATCTCCTCCCTTTTCCACCGCTCAATCCCTCCAATTACCAAATTCCCCACTCTGTGCCTCCACCGCCACTTCCCCTTCTCTCCCCCCATTTTCTCCCCCTCCCATTCTCTTGCCCCTCCCCAACCTCTCCCGTTTCTCCCCCTTCTCCCCATTGCCAATGCCTCCATGAGCGTGGGGCCAGTGGCCGGCCGGTGCCAAGTAATTTCTTAAGACGTCTCAAAAACCGTTTCCCGTTCTCTTGCCCGCTTGCCTCTCCTCTCTCCCCCCACTCTTCCCCCAACCCTCTCCCCCCCGTCCCCTCCCCCCGCCCCCCTCTCTCTCCCCCCTCCCCAAGGACTCCATGGACGTGGGGGCAGTGGCCGGCCTGCGCCGAGTCAAGGCGGCAGTGCGGGCGGCGTATCTTGTCCTCTTGCACACGTACCACTCGCTGCTGATCGGCGACGCAGCAACGGACTTCGCCCTGGAAATGGGCCTGGCCGGCCCGGAAGATCTCTCCACCAATCGCTCTCTCGCCATGTGGCGCCAATGGAAGGCCGCCAGCTGTCAGCCCAACTATTGGCGCAACGTGACGCCTGATGCCGCCCGTTACTGCGGCCCCTACCGCCCGGCCACTGCTCCAGGATCACATGCTTCCGAACCAAGCGGTGGTGCCACGGCCGAGCCTCAGGGGGCCGAAGCAGGTGCCGGACCTGGTGGTGCCGGACCTGCAGCCGGACCTGGTGATGTGCGCGTGGGGTGTGATCCACGTCTTGTTGGCCGGGAGCAAGGCTTGTTGAGGAGGCGAAACCGCCTGGCATCACACGACACCATCTCCATGGTTGCCATAGCACAGGTGCGGTGCGGTGCGGTGAGGTGAGGTGCGGTGACAGGTTCTGGGCTGTTCTTGTGTCGGCCTAAGACTGCTCTCCTGTGCCTGATATGCGGACTCTTTTGAACTGCACTGCATGTACACATGCAGCACATATGCACAGCACGTGTGCCCACTGCCCACTGCCCCCTGGTACCATGCCCCCATATGCATGACGTCATTACCTCATCTGCACACTGTCTGTCTGTCGTCACCCCATGTGCGTGACGTCATCACATGGTGCCCATGACGTCATCTCACTATGCCCACGACGTCATCACCCCCATGCCCATGCCATCAGAACGGCAGCATGGCTGCAGCGACATCCACCAACGGACTCACCTTCCACATCCCTGGGAGGTATGTTGTTACTTCTGTCATCATATCCATGTCATCATGTGTCATCAAACCCATGTCATCATACCCATGTCATCAAACCCATGTCATCATACCCATGTCATCATACCCATGTCATCGTACCCATGTCATCATACCCATGTCATCATACCCATGTCATCATACCCATGTCATCGTACGATCCTGTTCCCATAGCAATGTGGATTCACTTGCTCACCCACTCACTCGCTCATGCACTCACTCTGTCACTCATTCACCCCCCCTCTATCCTTGCTGTTCTCTCCAGGGTGGGTGATGCACCCATAGCAGGAGCAGGAGCATATGTGGACTCAAGAGTAGGGGGCTGTGGGGCGACAGGACTGTTTTGAACTGACTCACATCACTCTTAAGTCACGCACTCACTCACGCACTCACTCACGCACTTACGCACTCACTCATGCACTCACTCATGCACTCACTCACGCACTCACTCACGCACTCACTCACGCACTCACGCACTCACTCACGCACTCACTCATGCACTCACTCACGCACTCACTCACGCACTCACTCATGCACTCACTCACGCACTCACTCATGCACGCACTCAGTCATCCCCTCTATCCTTGCGCTCCGCTCCAGGGTGGGTGATGCACCCATAGCAGGAGCAGGAGCGTATGTGGACTCTAGAGTGGGGGTTGTGGGGCAGTGATATTCACCCACTCACTTGCTGGTGACACATTCCCCCTCTCACTCCCTCCCTCTCATTGTTCCCAGGGTGGGTGATGCACCCATAGCAGGGGCAGGAGCATATGTGGACTCCAGAGTGGGGGGCTGTGGGGCAACAGGAGATGGTGACGTCATGATGAGGTTCCTGCCATGGTATGCTGTGCTGACATTGTGGCTTGGCAAGCTGATGATGTCTCAACACTTGTTGACATTGACATCACTGCATTTTTCAGTTGGAAACCAAACACGGGTTTTTCACATAAAGACACGTTAGATAGATTTTACCCTCTCTCACCCCTCTGTACCCCTCCACCTAATTCCTTTCTTGCTGCTTTCCTTCTGTTGCTCCTCCCTTCACTATTCCAGCTTTCTAGCAGTTGAGCTCATGCGAATGGGCTCTACCCCAGCCTCGGCTGCCGAAGCTGCCATCAGTCGCATCCGAGCCAAGTTCCCAACCTTTCAGGGAGGCTTGGTGGCGGTCAACAGGTTTGGGGAGCACGGAGCAGCGGTGAACAACTGGGTGCTACAGTACACTGTAGCTTCGCCTGCAACTGACGGTACACCACGCGTGTTTACGGTTCATCCCAAGTGTTGAGGAATAATATTGAAATTAATACGTATAATATGTCAGTTGTTCGGCACCATAGAATAGAAGCATGATCGGAGTACATTAGCTGTTCGATATCACCATGAACAGGATGTTGACATGAACGAACCCTGATACATCAGGAGCAACCCAAGCCCTGCCCTGGAAATTCAGGATCCACGTAAAAAGACCGCTCTGAAAAATTAGTGCGTCTTTTCATATTCGAAGGATTTGCCCAGGCATCAGGGTCTGGTATCGAATCAAATTTATACTGAAGGGGTGATGCGGGCCTTTCATGAACTGATTTGTCGCCAGCTTCAATTGACCACCAGAGCCCAAGGTGATGGTCCCGAAGTGACCATCTCGAATTGTCAATTTCAAGGTCACATTCGTTCACGGGGGTTGAGCTTGCACTTCTCGCCAATCTCGAGAGCTTGCTGTTCGGAGTCTAGCATCGAATCTCTGCCTGGTAGACTAGAATCCATTTGCTGCTCCTGCCTCTTCCACGGCACGAGCAAGAGGCAGAGAGCTCGTCTGCGAAAGTAGCACTGGTTCGACCATTTTATGAGTAGTCCATCACGAAGAACATGAGCGGTTTTTAGATAATAACTGCAAAGTTTATAGGGTTTTGAAGCGTCATACTGCGTAGGAGCGCTCCGTGTAGCCGTGACTCATTGACATTGATCGCAGATTCGGTTCCTCTGCTATTCGCCATGGCGTGTGTAGTTCCTTCAACCCCGTCAGTCATGTCGATCTGTAGCCTCGACTACACGCGGATCTGTCGTCGTCCTTGCGTATCGCTTGATAAAAACCACGTGGATTCAGTCAGATATGTTTTTCCGTCATGGTCGAGCCCGTACCAGCGTAGACTCAGCCCACTGGACCACTCCGTACGGAAATCCTTCGTCAGGATTCGAAACCGTGACCGGAGAGTTGCGGTCAGATGCAATGCTAAAAACTCTTCCGTGCCAGCAGACTCTCCCGAGACGGAGGTCGCAAACCTTGGAGTTGAACCGACGGCCGATGACAAGCCGACCGTCGGGACGGAGTATGAGGCGCGTGAAGTGAGGGAGGAGGAGATAGGAGCTGATAGAGAAGGCGAAGTGAGCGTAAAAGCTTCTAAGGAAAAGCAGGGAAGAACCGAGGAAGTTGGGGGTAAGAGGCGTGGGAGGAGAGCAGGCAATGCGAAGGCAAGAAGCGAAGGGAGCGGGAGTAAGAGCGGAGAGGGGGAAGCATCCGAGGAGGAAGAGGAGGCTGTGGCAGTGATTGCTCAAGTGCTGATGAAGAAATACGGACCTCAGATAGTGAAAGAGGAGGATGAGGGGCTTGGGAACGGAAGGAGTGGGGGATGGGAGGAGATTGAAGGAGGGGAAGCATCGGATGCAGCAACGGTGGCGGCGGTGGCGGCGGTGGCGGCAGCGGCGGCGGTCGAGGAGGAAGTTGGAATGGACACAGAAATGCAGGATGAGGAAGTAGAAGCAGAAGCGAGTGAGGAAGGTATACCAAGCATGCCATCTCGTCCTCGTGCCACCTCTCGCTCCTCCCTCCTCTCCCTCTACCGCTTCTTCTCCTCCCACCTCGGCATCTCCTCCCCTTCCACTATCGCTTCCCTCCTCGCTTCCAATCCCCAACTCCTCCGCTCCAACCCCACCAATGACCTCGTTGTTGACTAGTATTGGGATCTAGAAACTCTATGCACGCCCTTTTAATTCACTCTTAGTAGTCCCCACGGGGTCACCTCCAAGGGTCCTCGGGTGCCTGGCAAAGCCAGCCCCTAAGTGTAAAGACAACGACGTGCACTAGAGCACTCCCAAAATCCTTTGCGTAGCGTTGAAGACGAATTGGCCCGTGTGCAGAAAATTCTCTTCACGTCAATACGTTGATAGAGAAAAACTTCACTCAATGGATTGATGACAACTTCGTACAAGCACGCATTTTATATCAAAGCCTAACACACAAGCATAGGAAAGCACAAAGCAGTTGTTTAACTAGAGTTCAGGACTTCGCCATATGTGCCAAGAAAAACGGTTGTCGAACTGCTCTTGATTTTGGCTGCATTTGCCTCTGTAGAAAAACTGTCTTCGAATTTCATATCAGCCAAATGCCCCTGCTGACTCAGCCCACGAACGCTCATGAATTCCCGTTGGTAATTATGAACAATCATGTGGGATTACCGTTTTCACGAAGCCTTACAGTTGAAAAACGGATTTCACCGTTTTGTCACTGTGTCGAAATTGTTGCGTTACGCGCGCGACGTTTTCGGCGAAGTTACCTGTACGCCGAGTCAACGCGGGATTCGGTTTTTCAACCGTAATCCCGAGCTCCCCCTTGACTGCAATCATGCACGACCGATATTTCGGTCGTGCTGTACAGTGCACTGACGTGCGCTGTCCTGCGCGTGGGCAGGGCGATCATTCGCCCTGTCCTGTTGCGATCGTGGGCCCTGCCACGCTCGCAACAGTGCGAGGCCACACGCGCGGGCCTGAGGGCCCACACGCACGATCAGGACCCCACGCGCGGGTCCTGATTTACCCGCGCAGTTGACCTTAACTGACGCGAAAATTATCTCAGTCAACTTCGTGAACACTCACGACACTTCATGAATACACACGAGAAACAGAAAAACACAAACGAACATGAACGCACATAAATATTCATGAACAACGCACGAACCTCACGGAAATTCACGAACACAGAAAATCACGCATACTTACGACAACTCGCGGAACAACGCAAACGCACAGCATTCACACACGGATTATCACGAACACTCAGGAATGCAACCTCTCACGAAAACGCATATAACTCATGAACCGTTGGGGCGATTCATGAGCAGTAAACATTCAAACGTAAAGCACGAAAATGCGCAACTCACACATAAGGAATTACCTTCAAACAAAACACCTCACTTTCACTCAATGTCGGCGAATAGGTGGTAGGTTGTCGTGCAAACCATGTATTGCACCCAACACTCGTGCCACGTGTCCGTCTCATCCAGTCGTTTGGCGTATTGCACACCGACATCGTCTAGATCACTGTGAGGCAACCAGCCTGGCTCCGATCCCCCCTGCCACGGATTCAGAACACGCTTGAGTTTCTTTTGGCTCAAGGCGTTCGCCGCAGCAGACTGGGCTTTGTGCTCGTGCACGGATGGGGCTTACTCTACTGGGAGGCTCGTTCAACGATCCTGGACATTTTGGTGGAGAAAGCGGGGGTTCCTGTGGACAAGCAAGGTGTGATTATAGAGAGATACCCGTCCATCTTGACTCGGAGAAAAGAGACAGTGAATACTCAGCTTGAGATGCTATCAGCCTACCTGAAGGCGGGATGCGGAGGGAAGGTAGAGGCAGGTAGCACCAGCACAGGCCACTTGAAGCAGCGACTAGATGAGCCGCATCTGGACAGGAACCACCTATCTAGGCTTATTTTGAGGTTTCCAACTATCCTCAGTTCTTCGTCCCACCGCATTGCAGAGAATATCGCCATCCTCCAGTCCTTCACTCCCCCAGGCACCCCCTCTGTTGCGAGCTCTGTGCTCCGTCTTGCTCTGGACAGGAAACTTTTATATCTAAGCTCCGGTTTTTTGTGGGGCTGGTGGGGGAGAAAACAGCAGGGAGAGTGGCGAGGAGCTTCCCGCAGGTTCTGCATCTATCAAAGGAGAACGTGCAAGGCAAGGTGGCGGTATTGGCTGACTTAATTGGCCGAGAGAATGCTGTGCGGGTGGTGGCACGATTTCCTTTGCTACTTCTAGTGAAGATAACATGAAGAACACTTTCAGAGAGCTTGTGAGAGAAGTGGAAGAGGCTTTGGAGAGCAGTGAGAGAAGTGGGATGCTGAGGTTGGGAGGAGGTGATTGGTTGGATGAGAAGAATGAGGCTGGAGCACAAGGCGACAAGAGATGCAGGGCTCGTCAGTTGGTGGTGGATTTGGTGGTGAAGTGCCCGCAGTCTATCTACTTCAGTTGGGAAGCGAACATGAAGCATAAGGTGGAGTATTTAAAGCGTGACATGGGGCTGTCCTTTACAGAGTTGCTTGCTTTTCCGGACTTACTTATCTACGGTTTATATCGGCGAATCAGACCGCGGCATGTGGCACTTGTGCGAATGGGGTATGTGGTTGTGGCACGTGAGGCGGTTAGACGAAGGAGTGTTGTTGAAGACAGGAGGGATGTTCTGATAGCAGCTGGGCAACGGAGGAGCGAGCTGGGTTCTGACAAAGTGGAGGGGGTTGAATGGGGATCGGAAGAAAGAAAGATTGAAAGAGCTGGCGACAGGAAAGAGCAGCAGGGCGACGGGGAGCGATGTGGTAGTGGACCGATGCTTGAGGAATTCATAGGACATGACGAGCCATTGGGGGGAGCTGTTACAGAGCAACAGCTTGTGAACTTGGAGGTAGCAAGGAAAGCGGTGTGCTTGCATCAGTTTCTTAAATGTACAGACAAGCAGTTTGAGAAGAAGTTTGGGGTCACGCTGTAGGGCTGCTGCTGATAGGCTTCTTCGGGTTCACATTAGCCCAATCCTATGCCTGATGTCTGATGTCCCAGTGGTTCACATTGCGCCAATGCCTGATGTCTGTGTGTGCCTCTCCAAATTAGCCCCTCTCTTCAGATATCGCCATTGCATCAACCACTGTGGGGGGCATGGGGACGGAGTGTTAGCAGATGGAAATGATAGCTGATGGAAGGTGATTGCGACAGGGGCAGCAGGGGGACCTATTCTATGGGCTCTTTTTTTTTTCTGGTTTTGAATTATCTACTGGTGCTGGAGGGGAGGGGGGAGGGGGATTACCAGAACTAGCAGGAGCGGCACGAATAGGAGGAGGAGATAGTTTGAGTGCCACATCCTTGTTGCTGCTAGATGGGACCGGAGGGGGTGTGGCTGCTACAACTGCCTCTTCTACAGCCGCCGCAACCCTCCCTCTACTGGACTGGACCTGCTACGGCTGCCAGTGCAAGCCGAGGAATTTCCGGGCTGCCCGATGAAAAGAGCGGGTGGGTAGTTAAGTCGAGAGGAGAGACGCGGTGAGAGAGGAGGGATGGTTTGAGGGGACCGGAGGAGGAGGGAGGGGGAGGAGGAGGGGGGGGGGGGGGGGGGAGGGGGGAGAGGGCGAGAGGAGGTGTTGGCTTTGAGAAGGAGGTGGAGGAGCGAGAGCAGGGGTCGGTTGTTAGACACTCCTTGAGTGAGCCCCCTTCCATCGTCTTGGTTCAGCCTTCGGTCTAGCACCATCTGTAGCCAACCGCTCTGGGGGTGGAAGAAGGAGAGGGGAAGAGGGGAGGGGAGGACGACAGCAGGGAGAGCAGCGGGTGGGTGTCAGGGCCTCCTTGAGTGAGCCCCCTTCCATCGTCCTGGTTCAGCCTTCGGTCTAGCACCATCTGTAGCCAACCGCTCTGAGGGCGAGGAAGGAGGCGAGGGGACGAGGGGAGGGGAGGAGCGGAGGCGGGAGAGCAGGGAGAGCAGGGAGAGCAGCGGGTAATTGTCAGAGACTCCCTGTGTGAGCCCCCTCCCATCGTCCTGGTTCAGCCGCCGATCCAACACCATGTCTATTAGGGTTGGGAAGTAGAAGAGAGAGGAGGAGAGAAGGATAGGGGGGAAGGAGGGGGAGGAGGGCACGGTTAAGAGAGGCTGTTAAGCACATAGCGAGACCAGTTTTTTTAGGATTCTTTAGGGGGCAGATGGTGAGGAGAAGAGAAGCTGTTATGCACATAGCGAGGCCAAGAAATGAATCACGTTAAGAAGGCGGGCAAGAGAGGTCTCACCTTGAGACTGGCACATTCCATGGCTTGGCGAGTGTGAGCAGAGAAGCCCAGGCCCGAGGGGTGTTGCAGGAAGGCCAGGCGGGCATGGGGTAGAATTGGGCGTGGGTTGGCAGGCAGAGGGGTGTGACCGCGTGAGGAGAGGGGGGAGCCGTGGGGTGAAAGCAAGTGTAGGGAAGAAGAGCTTACTTGGAGACTGGCAGCGCAGGCCCGAGGGGTGTTGCAGGAAGGCCAGGCGGGCATGGGGTAGAAGTTGCCTTGCAGGGGAATGCGGGCGAGTCTTTCCCTCCTCACCATCTGAAAACCGATCAGGTCCGTGTGAAAGATGTTGCAGACCTGAAGGGAAAGGCATGGGGTATATGAGACAGGCATGGAGCATGGGGCATGGGGCATGGGGCATGAGAAGGAGAGGGCGGGAATGGGGTATATTTGACAGGCATGGGGCATGGGACATGAGAAGGAGAGGGCGGGCATGGGGTAGAAGTGGCCTTGCATTGGAATCCGGGCGAGTGTTTCCCTCCTCACCATCTGAAAACGGTTGAGGTCCGTGTGAAAGATGTTGCAGACCTGAAGGGAAAGGCATGGGGTACATGAGACAGGCATGGGGCATGGGGCATGGGGCATGAGAAGGAGAGGGCGGGAATGGGTATATTTGACAAGCATGGGGCATGGGACATGGGGCATGGGGCATGAGAAGGAGAGGGCGGGCATGGGGTAGAAGTTGCCTTGCAGGGGAATGCGGGCGAGTGTTTCCCTCCTCACCATCTGAAAACCGTTCAGGTCTGTGTGAAAGTTGCATGCAGACCTGAAAATGTTTGCAGACCTGGGGTGGTGGTGGTGAGGGGGTGCGGAAATTATGAGAGTGAGGAGGTGGGTGGATGAGAGGGCGAGGGCGGGCATGGGGTAGAAGTTGCTTTGCAGGGAGATGCGGGAGAGGGTTTCCCTTGGCCAAGGGAGATGCGGGAGAGGGTTTGGTAGCCGTTTAGGTTTGTGTGGACGATTCTTCTAGACCTGCAGGGGTGGTGGGGGGAAGTGGGGGGGTTGCAGATGAGAGAAGGGGAGGGACGGCTTTGCAGGTGAGAGTTGACTGGTTTTGGGGCTTGAGAACACAGGAGGGCATTTGAGGACGGCAGCAGGCATGACGGCAGGCATGACGGCAGGCATGGGGGCAGGCATGGGGCAGGCGTGGGGGCAGGCATACTGGCAGGCATGGGGGCAGGCATGCTGGACGTGCTACAGCCGTTCCTGTGGGTGGCGGTGTCACCGGCTGTAGCAGAGGAGTTACTGTTCAGAGGGCTGCTGCTCACGACCCTACAAGAGAGGCTCGGCAGGTGAGAGGTTGGCAGGAGGCTCGGTAATGAGGTTGGCAAGGGCTTACTGCTACCACCTTGTTTCTGGTTTGAGAACTTCCTCCATTTTCATGGCCCACACTCTCTAATCAATCCGATGTCACTTGTTCTTTCTTATCCCCACACGCTTGATATCGTCTTTCTTGTATTCCCCTCCTTTCCTCCCTGCATTATCCCCTTTCCTGCCTCTCTCCCCTTCCCTGCCTCTCTCCCCTTCTCTCCCTGTTTCCCCCCAGGATCGACGCTGCCATGCTGTCTGCAGCCCTCTTCGCCCTCTTCCACCTCTCCCTCGCCCGCCTCTTCCCCAACATGGCCCTTGGGATTGCCGCCGGTCTGCTCGCTGTCTACTCCAATAGCGTCTTGCCAGCTGTCGCTCTGCATACCACTTACAATGCTTCTGCTCTAATCTACGCACTCATGGCTGCGACGATTGCTTCTGTCTAGCAGGCAAAGAGCTGGTTAGTACAAAGACCTGGTTCCTTCACAGGTGTGGAACATCCTGGAAACAGGAAAAGATTCTGGCTGGACAATGCCCAACTGCCGCACCAGCGGGACCAATCTGGTTCGTGCCTCCAAGTTGGTATGGACCATGGTGTCTGGATGTTCCATGTCACTTCTCCAAGATAGCGACGTTGACTGGGTAAATGGAACAGTGTGAACACGCGTTTGATGAGCCCACAAATATCCTGATGGGTGCACAATCCACACCATGTGTATCCAAGATGAGTGGGATGAAAGAACTCACATACCATACACATAAAGGCGATGAGATACAAGATTACAACTTACCTTATACCGAAACGCTGCTTTTCCCGAGGCAGCGGCAGCAGCGGCAGGGAGCTTGGAGTTCCATTTCGTAGCATCAGCTTTGAATCTTTCGCTGGGCAGCAACCACAGTTACAGTTTCTGGCGAAAACAGCTTCGGAGCGGAGCTCCTTTCGTTCGGTCAAATCTCAAGCTTAGGCGAGAAGCTCTCGCCAATCCCCAGAGCATTCGCTAAGCACCTGCTCAACCACTCCGTATACCTGTTCAAACGTTTTTAAACGCACAGCACCTGATCAAGCCGCACCGCTTGGCCCTTTGATCGTCACACTCGTCTCGTCGGTAGCCCCAAGGAACCCAGGTTTCCAAAATTGGACGAGGGAATCGCCCGTCATGGAGCAGCTAGATAGGTGCTGGATAGTTGAAGCTAGCTAGATGCGGGATAGATGAAGCTAGATAGCTATTCTAGCTAAATAAGAGCTCGAGGCATCAATCATCATTGAAATAATGTTCATTCTCTAATCCGTGCACGCGAAGCTGACTTCACGTTTCGCGTCGCCAGCCAGCCAAGGTCAGCGAGGGTTCAGGCATACACGAGTTGGACGGATTAGACGAATTCGACGGATGCAACGAGATCATCAACGAAATCATGAACTTCTACGCCGCCTCGCGTAGATCAGCTCGCCGATCGCTATGGCTAGTCCTACCGCATACGTCACAGCCATTCGTAGATCGGATTCTCAGATATATTGCTCGTGAGACATCGCAAACGCACCGAATAGCATCGTGATCTTCGGTTCCTTCCTTAACAAGCTTCGATTGGATTGGATCGGATCGAAACGAACCTGCGCGAAACGCGTTTTGTCAACTCCGAAACCCAGACCGAAGCTTCGATGCTACTCAAGAGACATCTTCATCCCACGTCCGAAGCTTCGCGACATGGGCTGCCGTTGGTACGTCTTCCAGACCAGCAGGCGCAGAAGCTTCCGAGGCGGAGGCTGCTATTTCTGGGTCGAAATCACTTTCCAGAATCAACCCTTTAGTAGAGGTGCAAGCGGAGCTTAAAACGCGTACAGTGAAGGGCGAGGAGAGGGGGAGTGGGAAAGGGAGCCAGGGGAGCATCAGGAGGGTAGGGGAAGAGGAGGGGGGAGAAACGGGAGGTGGAGATGTGAGCGGTAAAAGGAGAGCAGGTAATGTGGGGGGAAAGAGTGAGGGAGGCGGGAGGAAGAGCTACAGGACAAAAGGCTGCAAAGAGGAGGAGGAAGAGGCAGTGGCAGTGATTGCTGGAGTGCTGAGGAAGAAATTCGGGCCCCAGATTGTGAAAGAGGAGTTGGAGGAGTGGGGGAGTGGGATGGGAAGCAGCAAGGATGAAGGGGGTGTGGGGAGGAGGGAGGAGGAGGAGGAGGAGGAGGAAGGGGACGATGAGGAGGAGGAGGAGGAAGCAGAAGCAGAAGCGAGTGAGGAGGACGCACCACCCACCACATCTCCTCCCACGCCCCCTCCTCCAGCCCCCGGGTCGTATCTCCCTCCTCCCTCCTCTCCCTCTACCGCTTCTTCTCCTCCCACCTCGGCATCTCCTATCCTTCCACTGTCGCTTCCCTCCTCGCTTCCCACCCCCAACTGCTCCGCTCCAATCCCACCAATGACTTCCTGCCACGTGTCCGCCTCCTCCAGTCATATGGCATATCTCATGCTGATATCCTCCACATCACTGAGAGAGGTCCACGCTGGCTCCGATCCCCCCTGCCACGAATTCAAAACACGCTTGAGTTCCTTTTGGCTCAAGGCGTCCGCCGAAGCAGATTGGGCTTGGTGTTCCGACGTGTCAGCAACTTACTTCGCTTTGAGGTACGTTCCACGAACCTGGACATTCTTGTGGAAAAGGCAGGGGTTCCAGTGGACAAACTGGGTGGGATTATAGAGAGAGCTCCATCCATCTTGATTCGGAGCAAAAACGCGGTATATACACAGCTTGAGACGTTATCAGCTTACCTGAAGGCGGAATGCGGAGGGAAGGGAGAAGCAGATAGCACCAGCACAAGCCCTTGTAAGCAGCGACCAGATGAACTGCCCTTGGACACAAGCTACCTAAGCAGGCTTATCTTGACGTTTCCAGGCTTCCTCTCCCGTTCTCCTTATCACATTGCAGAGAAACTTGCCATCCTCCAGTCCTTCACTCCCACAGGCACCCCCTCCGTTGCAACCTCTGTGCTTCGTCGTGCCCCCACCATCCTCGGCCTTAGCTCAGAAACTCTCTTAGCTAAGCTCCAGTTTTTTGTGGAGCTGGTGGGGGAGAAAGCAGCAGGGAGGGTGGCGAGGAGCTACCCGGCGGTTCTGCAACTTTCGAAGGAGAACCTGCAAGGCAAGGTGGCGGAATTGGCTGATTTGATTGGCCAAGAGAATGCCGTGCGGGCGGTCGCACAGTTTCCTTTGCTACTAACGTCTAGTGAAACTGTCGTGAAGAAAAGCTTTAAAGAGCTTGTGCGAGAAGTGGAGGAGGCATTTGAGGGCAGTGGAGAAGCGGGAAACGGGATGCAAAGGTTGGGGGAAGATGAGAGAGGAAAGCGCTTGGTAGGGGAAAATGACTATCCAGCACTAAGTGCCAAGAGGTGCAGGGCTCGTCGGTTGGTGGTGGATTTGGTTATGACGTACCCGCCGTCCATTTATTACAGTTGGAAAACGAACCTGAAACCCAAGCTGGACTACTTAAAACGGGACATGGGGCTCTCTATAAAGGAGGTCCTTGCCTACCCTAAGTTTCTTGGGTACAGTTTGGATCGGCGAATCAGACCACGGCATGTGGCACTGGTGCAAATTGGATATGCGGTTGTGGCACATGAGATGGTTATTCGGCCGAGGGGTGTTTCGATTGGAGCTGAGGAGCAGAGGGGCAAGCTGGGTTCTGTTTGCTCCTCACTTTCTGACAAAGTGGAGGGAGTGGAGTGGATTGAATGGGGAGTGGAAAAAAGAAAGATCTAAAGGACGGGTGACAAGCAAGAGCAGCAGCGCGATTTGGAGGATGGTGGTAGCGAACTTCTACTCGAGGAGTTCCTAGGGAATGACGAACCAAGGGGAGAAGCTGTTACAGTTTTTACTCGACTAAAAAAAGCAGCAGGGCCAAGGGGAACATGGTGGTAGTGGACTGCTGCTTGAGGAACACGTGGGCAATGACGAGTCAGGGGAAAGAGCTGTTGCTGTTACAGAGCAGCAGCTTGTGGAATTGGAGGCGACAAAGAAGCTGGTGTGTTTGCAGCAGTTTCTCCAATTCACAGACAAGCAGTTTGAGGAGAAGTTTGGGGTCAAACTGTAGGGCTGGTAATAGGCTTCTGTGGTTTCCAATGAATAATGTTTTTCAACTCCAGCTTAGATAGTACGGTACATTCCGTGCTGCAACAGCATCGCTGCGCCCCGACTCATTGACAGGCCTGACATAGCTAGGCCATGTAGAGTATACCTGTGTTTCTGCTGTTAAAGACTGCCGCACCAAGAGTGTTTACAGTTCATCGGATCAATCATATCCATGAAGTGCATACAGCAGACATGGTAATTTGCGTACTGTATAGTGCATACATCAGTTGTGCAGGAATTAGTGTTGGCCTTAGGTCTTTAGCTGACTAGGCATCGGTCAGAAACACATCTCCCTCATCCCCCACCCTATAGTTCTAAGAAAGATCTTTGATTCACTTCCACAGGAAGCCAATGTCGATCTTGGGTCTGGGCTGCCCGGGCAGTGGTCAGTCACGCCACCCACCCCCCCTTCCCCCCTTTCCCTTTCCCTTTCACTACTGTGCCTGCTTTACGACAAATCCTTAAGGCATTCGCACAGGAAGCCAATGTCAATCTTGGGTCTGGGCTGGCCGGGAGCAGTGGAGCCCTGAGAGGCCATCTCGATGAACATGAGGAGCTTCTTGATGGTCATCTGATGAACGGGGATGGAGGGTGGGGGGGGGGGGATTTAGGGTGATGTTAAGGACAGCTCTATGGATGGGGAGCAGTGGAGCCCTGAGAAGCCATCTCGATGAACATGAGGAGCTTCTTGATGGTCATCTGATGAACGGGGATGGAGGGTGGGGGGGGGGGGATTTAGGGTGATGTTAAGGACAGCTCTATGGATGGGGAGCAGTGGAGCCCTGAGAAGCCATCTCGATGAACATGAGGAGCTTCTTGATGGTCATCTGATGAACGGGGATGGAGGGTGGGGGGGGGGGGATTTAGGGTGATGTTAAGGACAGCTCTATGGATGGGGAGCAGTGGAGCCCTGAGAAGCCATCTCGATGAACATGAGGAGCTTCTTGATGGTCATCTGATGAACGGGGATGGAGGGTGGGGGGGGGGGGATTTAGGGTGATGTTAAGGACAGCTCTATGGATGGGGAGCAGTGGAGCCCTGAGAAGCCATCTCGATGAACATGAGGAGCTTCTTGATGGTCATCTGATGAACGGGGATGGAGGGTGGGGGGGGGGGGGATTTAGGGTGATGTTAAGGACAGCTCTATGGATGGGGAGCAGTGGAGCCCTGAGAAGCCATCTCGATGAACATGAGGAGCTTCTTGATGGTCATCTGACAAAAGGGAGAAGGGGGGAGGGCGGACGGGGGCTCGGTGGAAAATGTAGGGAGGGACAGAAACAGTTGGTTGGACCATATTCGGGTTATGCGTCAGCAGGGGAGAAATCACTTTTGAGAATAATCAGACGTGATTTAAACAGCTGGTTGGACCATGTTCGGATAATGTGTCAGCAGGGGAGAAAAAAACTGGAGTATGTTGGAAAAATGTCTCAGCAGGGTCTGAGATTGCAACTTGTACGTGACAAAACAAATTAGCCTCCTGACCTTGAGGTGAGGATTGCAGAGCATCCACAACAATGTGCAGTGCGATGTAATGCGGTGCAGTGCAATGCGACACATGGCATTTCGGTGCGGTGTGGTGCAGTGCCGTGCAGTGCCGTGCAGAGCTCACCTCTTCCACTGTGGAGGGAAGGGCATCCACAGCAGTATCAATGTCGTCTGCTTCAAACAAGTCCAGCTCCCTCAGTGGCCTACAGTGCAGTGAGTGTGGTGCGGTGCAGTGCGGTACATTGTGGTGCAAAGCTCACCTCTTCCACTGTGGAGGGAAGGGCATCCACAGCAGTATCAATGTCGTCTGCTTCAAACAAGTCCAGCTCCCTCAGTGGCCTACAGTGCAGTGAGTGTGGTGCGGTGCAGTGCGGTACATTGTGGTGCAAAGCTCACCTCTTCCACTGTGGAGGGAAGGGCATCCACAGCAGTATCAATGTCGTCTGCTTCAAACACGTCCAGCTCCCTCAGTGGCCTACAGTGCAGTGAGTGTGGTGCGGTGCAGTGCGGTACATTGTGGTGCAAAGCTCACCTCTTCCACTGTGGAGGGAAGGGCATCCACAGCAGTATCAATGTCGTCTGCTTCAAACACGTCCAGCTCCCTCAGTGGCCTACAGTGCAGTGAGTGTGGTGCGGTGCAGTGCGGTACATTGTGGTGCAAAGCTCACCTCTTCCACTGTGGAGGGAAGGGCATCCACAGCAGTATCAATGTCGTCTGCTTCAAACACGTCCAGCTCCCTCAGTGGCCTACAGTGCAGTGAGTGTGGTGCGGTGCAGTGCGGTACATTGTGGTGCAAAGCTCACCTCTTCCACTGTGGAGTGAAGGGCATCCACAGCAGTATCAATGTCGTCTGCTTCAAACACGTCCAGCTCCCTCAGTGGCCTACAGTGCAGTGAGTGTGGTGCGGTGCAGTGCGGTACATTGTGGTGCAAAGCTCACCTCTTCCACTGTGGAGTGAAGGGCATCCACAGCAGTGTCAATGTCGTCTGCTTCGAACACCTCCAGTTCCCTCAGCGCCTGTGCAAGGAAGGGGGCAATTGGCAAGGGAGGGGAGAGAGGGAGTGCAAGAGAGGAACCATTGATCATGTGGGCGTTCATAGCAGTGTCAATATCGTCTGCTTCAAACACCTCCAGTTCCCTCAGTGCCTGGGCAGAGTGACATAACAAGGAGGAAGGCAATTAGAAAAAATGAAGAATGTAGAGAAGAAACATGAGGAATTCTCGCGTAAGGGCTAAGCAAGAAATCAGAGCGTCGATGGTTGTGTCAGAAACATCTGCTTCAAGCACTGGAGGTTCCAAATAAAGGCAACTCACCGCCTTGGTTTCGATGCGTGAGAGCGTGGGCACGGTGAGAACAGTGTTGAAAGAGGAGGAGAGGTGCATGGCCTGCTGAAGATCCTCTGGGAGGCTCGTGGTTGCAATCACGTACAGCTTGTGACCCTGCGGGGGGATTAAGAGGTAGGCGAGGGGAAGCGGGGATGTGGGGAGGAGAAGGCGCGAGAAGGGGGGAAGGAGGGGGTGAGGGAGCGAGGCGGGGGGTGGGGGAAGGAGGAGGAGAGGTGCATGGTCTCCTGAAGAGCCTTGGGTAGACTGGTGGTTGCAACCACGTACAGCTTGTGAACTGTATGACACAAAGGGGTGGAGAGGCGGGTTTGACCACTGGAAGTACCTTCTTCTTACCTCAGGGGGGAGCATTTTGACGAGCACGAGCAGCGAGTGCAGCACGAGGTTGGAGAAGCGCGGGAGGGTTGGACGGGTGGAGTTGGTGGTAAGTGGTAGTGGAGGTAGGAGAGGGCAGGGGGAGTGGGAAAGTGGGAGGCGGGGAAGAGTGGACGAGAGTTTGACCATTCTTACCTCAGGTGGGAGCCTCTTGACGAGCACGAGCAGTGACTGCAGCACGAGGTTGGAGAAGCGCGGGCCGATGCTGACATACTCAAAGAGGCGCTCTATGTCGTCCAAGATGACGATGCTGAAGGCTGATTTATACGCATCGTCAAACACCTGTGGGTGTGGGAAAAGGAGGATAGGAAGCAATGCAAATGGGATTTTGGGGTGCCTCACAAGCCGATGCTGACATACTCAAAGGGTCGCTCTATGTCGTCGAGAATGACGATGCTGAAGGCGGATTTATACGCGTCGTCAAACACCTGAGAATGGGAGGGAAGGGGATAGGAAGTAACGTATGTGAGCTCTTGAGGTGCCTCACAGACCGATGCTGTCATACTCAAAGAGGCGCTCTATGTCGTCCAGAATGACGATGCTGAAGGCTGACTTGTACGCAGCGTCAAAGACCTGTTGGATGAGATGGGGGGGAAGGAGGATTGGCCCTATCTAACACGCAAACCACCACCTTTCCTGTGGGTATTTGTTTTGAGAACACGTATGAAAAAACAAAACAGTTTGTTACTAGACAATGTAATGCGCAGTACTAGACAATATGCTCAATAAAAATTCACCCACCTTGGCTATGGCTGAGCATTTGGACGGCTCTGACATGCCCACCATCGTTTCTGCTGAGATCTGGTCCGTAGATTTGGGGGAGAGATACATTTAGGAAACAAAGGGAGGAATTTGGGTGAGTATAACAGGATATTACATGCATTAAGGTAAGACGAAGGTGACCAGGTAACAAGGTGACAATGGGACGAGGTGACAAGGATGAGGTTTAGAAGTTCAAGGGGAAATATGCGAAGCCACGTACCATCTTAACAAAGGGGAAACCGCTTTCCATGGCAATTGTAGCACCAAGAGCCGTCTTTCCACTGCAGGGAGTGCAGAACGGGTGGAATGGAGACACGAATGAGTATGGGACCATGCAGGGCAGGGCATGACCGAACCCAGACGGTGATCCCCCTGTTTGATGAGTCGACTTTTGAGTCGACTCAAAACTCGACTTGACTTTTGAGTCGACTCAAAACTCGACTTGACTTTTGAGTCGACTCAAAACTCGACTTGACTTTTGAGTCGACTCAAAACTCGACTTGACTTTTGAGTCGACTCAAAACTCGACTTGACTTTTGAGTAGACTCAAAACTCGACTTGACTTTTGAGTAGACTCAAAACTCGACTTGACTTTTGAGTAGACTCAAAACTCGACTTGACTTTTGAGTAGACTCAAAACTCGACTTGACTATTGAGTCGACTCAAAACTCGACTTGACTTTTGAGTCGACTCAAAACTCGACTTGACTTTTGAGTCGACTCAAAACTCGACCTGACTTTTGAGTAGACTCAAAACTCGACTGGACTTTTGAGTAGACTCAAAACTCGACTTGACTTTTGAGTCGACTCAAAACTCGACTTGACTTTTGAGTCGACTCAAAACTCGACTTGACTTTTGAGTCGACTCAAAACTCGACTTGACTTTTGAGTCGACTCAAAACTCGACTTGACTTTTGAGTTGACTCAAAACTCGACTTGACTTTTTGAGTAGACTCAAAACTCGACTTGACTTTTGAGTCGACTCAAAACTCGACTTGACTTTTTGAGTAGACTCAAAACTCGACTTGACTTTTGAGTCGACTCAAAATTCGACTTGACTTTTGAGTCGACTCAAAACTCGACTTGACTTTTGAGTAGACTCAAAACTCGACTTGACTTTTGAGTAGACTCAAAACTCGACTTGACTTTTGAGTAGACTCAAAACTCGACTTGACTTTTGAGTAGACTCAAAACTCGACTTGACTATTGAGTCGACTCAAAACTCGACTTGACTTTTGAGTCGACTCAAAACTCGACTTGACTTTTGAGTCGACTCAAAACTCGACCTGACTTTTGAGTAGACTCAAAACTCGACTGGACTTTTGAGTAGACTCAAAACTCGACTTGACTTTTGAGTCGACTCAAAACTCGACTTGACTTTTGAGTCGACTCAAAACTCGACTTGACTTTTGAGTCGACTCAAAACTCGACTTGACTTTTGAGTCGACTCAAAACTCGACTTGACTTTTGAGTTGACTCAAAACTCGACTTGACTTTTTGAGTAGACTCAAAACTCGACTTGACTTTTGAGTCGACTCAAAATTCGACTTGACTTTTGAGTCGACTCAAAACTCGACTTGACTTTTGAGTCGACTCAAAACTCGACTTGACTTTTGAGTCGACTCAAGACTCGACTTGAAACACGAATGAGTATGGGACCATGCAGTGCAGGGCATGACCGAACCCAATTTGTGATCCCCCTTTCCTCCCACAGCGGCTCACCTCCCAACCCAACGCACAAAGAATTTACACCACTCAACTAGGATATAAATAATTACAAGGACAAATGTGAGTTTCTAGTCTAGTCTAGCTCTAACAGTGTGATCAGGCGTATTTGCAATCCCATTCTCCCCTGTCTCCCAATCCCCCCACACTCACCTCCCTGGCGACCCCTCCAGCAGGCACGTCAGCAGGGGCGTTCTCTCGCTGCTCCGCACTTGCAGCACCTGGCGCTTGGCGGTGGAGAGAATGTGGTGGTGGGCTGTTAGGGACTGCAGCATGCCGTTCAGACTGCAAGGGAGAGAGGGAAAGGGAGAAAGAGGGGATTATGTGCTGCGTGCGCTGCCCTTGCTTTCATTTGCAGCACCTGGTGCTTGGCAGTGGAGAGAATGTGGTGGTGCGCTGTCAGGGACTGGAGGACGCCGTTCAGACTGCAAGGGAGGGAGGGAAAGGGAGAAAGAGGGGATTATGTGCTGGGTGCGCTGCCCTTGCTTTCACTTGCAGCACCTGGCGCTTGGCAGTTGAGAGAATGTGGTGGTGCACCGTCAACGACTGCAGCATGCCGTTCAGACTGCAAGGGAGGGAAGGGGAAAGGGCGAGGGATGATGAAGGGATAAGGAGATGGGGGATGCGCTTGAGGGGATGGATGTCGGACGGTTGTTCAATCGCTCGCTCTGTGCTCCGCACTTGCAGCACCTGGCGCTTGGCGGTGGAGAGAATGTGGTGGCGGGCTGTCAGGGACTGCAGCATGCCGTTCAGACTGCAAGGGTGGTGGGGGTAGAGGGAGAGAGAGATGGACAGGGAAGGAAGGGTAGAGGGGGTTTTGGCGGCTCGATCGCTCGTTGCTCCCCCCTTGGCTCCGCACTTGCAGCAACTGGCACTAGGCAGTTGAGAGAATGTGGTGGTAGCAACTGAGGGGAAAACTCACTCACCGGTACATGTTGAGCTGCTCTGTGTTGGCACCGTACGCCGGTCGCACCTCCTTATAGCACAAGTGGCAAGTGAAGGGGCAACCCACCCACTCACCGGTACATGTTGAGCTGCTCTGTGTTGGCACCGTACGCCGGCCGCACCTCCTTGAGCGCCTCTTCAAAATCCACCATGGTCACCCTGATGTTGTCCTCGTCTATCGCCTTTGTCAGGTCTGACAGGTGCGAGCGGCGCTAGTGCTTCAAGTGCAAATGACTCACCGGTACATGTTGAGCTGCTCTGTGTTGGCACCATACGCGGGCCGCACCTCAGTGAGCGCCTTTTCGAAATCCACCATGGCCACCCTGATGTTGCCCTCGTCTATCGCTTTGGTCAGGTCTGACAGGTGCGAGCGGCGCTAGTGCTTCAATTCAAGTGCAATTGACTCACCGGTACATGTTGAGCTGCTCTGTGTTGGCACCGTACGCCGGCCGCACCTCAGTGAGCGCCTTTTCGAAATCCACCATGGTCACTCGGATGTTGTCCTCGTCTATCGCCTTGGTGAGGTCCGAGGGGTCCGTTTGCCGTGACAGGGCGAAGGAGACTGCACTCTTGACCAGGCCTTCTAGCTCTGCTCCACTGAAGTTCTTGGTGCGTGCAGCTGAATGGAAGGAGGGGGAGAGGGGAGGGGGGAACGGGAGGGATGTTGTCCTCGTCTATCGCCTTGGTCAGGTCTGACGGGTCCGTCTGTCTTGACAGGGCGAAGGACACAGCGCTCTTCACTAGACCTTCTAGCTCTGCTCCGCTGAAATTCTTGGTGCGGGCAGCTGGGAGGGGGAAGAGGCCGGCACAGGGGGGGGATTGGTGGGAGAACATAGGTCACCCGGATGTTGTCCTCGTCTATCGCCTTGGTCAGGTCCGACGGGTCCGTCTGCCGTGACAGGGCGAAGGAGACTGCACTCTTCACCAGTCCTTCTAGCTCTGCCCCGCTGAAGTTCTTGGTGCGGGCGGCTGGGAGGGGGAAGAGGCCGGCACAGGGGGGGGACTGGTGGGAGAACATAGGTCACCCGGATGTTGTCCTCGTCTATGGCCTTGGTCAGGTCTGAGGGGTCTGTCTGTCTTGACAGCGCGAAGGACACAGCGCTCTTGACGAGACCTTCTAGCTCTGCTCCGCTGAAATTCTTGGGGATGGGCAGCTGGTGAGAGGAGGTTGGGAGAGGGGGACGGGAGAAGGCAATGGGAGGGATGTTGTCCTCGTCTATAGCCTTGGTCAGGTCTGAGGGGTCCGTCTGTCTTGACAGGGCGAAGGAGACAGCGCTCTTCACTAGTCCCTCTAGCTCTGCTCCACTGAAGTTCTTGGTGCGTGCAGCTGGGGAAACGGGGCAGAACAGGTCAAGAGAAAGGAAAGGGAGAAGCTGTTGGAAGAGAGAACCGGGAGAGGGCACTGGGATCGAATGTTGTCCTCGTCTATCGCCTTGGTCAGGTCCGACGGGTCCGTCTGCCTTGACAAAGCGAAGAACACGGCGCTTTTGACTAGACCTTCTAGCTCCGCCCCACTGAAGTTCTTGGTGCGGGCGGCTGGGGGGAGAGAAACGGGAGGGGGAGGGGGGGGGAGGAAACGCGTGCGTTCATGTGAGAGAGTCAGAAGAAGATCTGGGCCTTCATGCTCCGCTTCACTGAAGCTCCTGGTACGGCTGGCTGGGGCACGAGTATAGAAAGGAAGTGGGGGAGAGGGAAAACGCATAGTACCTCACGAAGCGGGGCACGAGGCTGGTATGAATTTGGAAGAGGGAGCGAAGGAAGGAAGGAAACCAGGGTTTTCACCCTGGTTAGCGGGGCACGAAGACTGAACTTCTGTCTGTGTGCCTTTTTAGATTTAAGCTAGATTGAAGCCACAGACAGAAGTTCAGTTCAGTCTTCACAGGGAAGGGCAGCCTCACCTAACCCCAAGTCGTCGAGACTCTTGGCTCACCCGGGCTGTGAAGGTCCACGCCAGCACCCTTGAAAGCGGTTTCGTGCATCTCATTGGAATGGATGGTTGAGCTGTCTTGGAAGCTCTGAACAAGCCCTGCCTTGCCCAACCAAGCGAGGCTCGGCTGGGCTTACCCAGGCTGTTGAGGTCCACGTCAGCAGCACCCACCCATGAAGGAAAGTTCACGCATCTTATTGGAATGGATGGTTGAGCTGTCTTAGAAGCTCTGAACAAGCCTTGCCTTGCCCGAACATGGAAAGGTCTTGGCTGGCTTACCCAGGCTGTTGAGGTCCACGTCAGCACCCATGAAGGAGTTCTCGCGCATCTTGTTGGAATGGATGGCCAGGATCTTCACTCGCCCCTCCTCGTCTGGTAACCCTATTTCAATCTGCACCTCCAATCGACCAGGTCTGGCGAAATTGGGTGAAAGGGTGTGGAATGGGGGGCAGTGGGAGAGGGAAGAGGACGATGAGCAAGAGAACGATGAGCAAGAGAATGAAAATCAGCAAACCAAAATCACCATTCACACTCTAAAGAATAGCTCCGCACAACGTACCACATCATACCGCAACATACCACATCGTACCACACCACACCACATCGGCTCACATCAACCCAAGTCACGTCGCACTGCAACATGCCCCATCACACCACTGTACCGCACAGAACCGCACTGCACCTGAGCAGAGCCTCGTCGAGCATGTCTTTCCGGTTGGTCATGCCGATTAGAAGAATGTTGTTCAGCGACTCGACTCCATCGATCTATGTTTGTATGATGTGGGGAGGTGGGGAACAACAAAGAGAGAGGGAGAAAGCGTGGCATGTCCCTTGGGGACTGCCTTGCCATCCTGGAGCCAGCACTGGAGCTCCCTTAGATGGGGCACGGGAGTGTGTAGGATAGGAGGAGGAGGGGGGGGGGGGTTAGTTACACGGAGCTCGGATCTAATGCATGTTCTATATCCACGTGCATGTTCTATATCCACGTGCATGTTCTATATCCACGTGCATGTTCTATATCCACGTGCATGTTCTATATCCACGTGCATGTTCTATATCCACGTGCATGTTCTATATCCACGTGCATGTTCTATATCCACGTGCATGTTCTATATCCACGTGCATGTTCTATATCCACGTGCATGTCTGTACTCGCTCGGATCTAATGCACGGACCGCTTGGGAGAAAGAGGAAGGAGGGTTGCGAGACGAAAGAGAAACAGGGGTGGGAAGGGAAGGGAGCGGGGGTGGGTGGAGATAAAGTGAGGGGAGGGGAGTGGGGATGGAGAAGGAATGACATGCTTACTCGGAAGAGAGAGCAAGGCAGCAATAGGAATGATGCTAGCAATGATGTCATACGACATAGACAGTTGAGGAAAACGGGGGGGACGGCAAAGCAGAGACAAATAGGGATCAGGGAAGGGGGGGTAGGAGAGGGTGGAGGGGAGGGGGCAGGAGGAAAACGGGGGGGACGGCACAGCAGAGGCAAATAGGGAGTAGGGAGGAGAGGGTGGAGGGACGGGCAGGAGGGGGGAGGAGGAGGGAGGAGAGGGGAGGAGGAAGGGGAGGGGCATATACCTTTGTGAGCAGTTGGTTGACTATGCTGTCGTGCACCCCTGTGCCATCGCAGTATGGAGGGATAGCATGACGGCAGGAGGAGAGGAGGAGGGGGCAGGTGAGGGGAGAAGGAGGAGGGGCGGCAGGGGAGACGAGGAGTGGGAGCGGCATGTGCTTACCTTGGTGAGCAGCTGGTTGACTATGCTGTCGTGCACCCCCGTGCCATCACGAACAGACCCTCGACTCTGATGGGAGAGGAGGGGAGGGAGGGAAGAGGAGATATTGGAGGAGAGATGGGAGGAGAGAAGGGAAGAGAGAGGTAGGAGTGAGTGTGACAGAATGCAGACCCGATAGAATGATGATGTGAATATAGCGAGCCTCACATGCCAGAATAAATAGTTTCACTTCTGGATAGCAATACATTTCTCAGAATCAAACAGTCTCACCTTACAGATGGAGTCAATCTCATCAAAGATGATAATGTGCAAGTCACTCTCGTCGCCATGCTCTTTCTGGTCCTTCCTGGCACACCTAAAACAATGTAAATCTTGGAATTTTAACCATTGGTCTCACCTTACAGATGGCATCGATTTCATCAAAGATGATGATGTGCAGGTCACTCTCATCTCCATGCTCCTTCTGGTCCTTCTCAGCATCGGCAAACAGATCTCGGATATTCTTCTCTGCTGCTCCCACATACTTGTCCAGGATCTCAGGGCCGTTCACCACCTGGAGGGGTGCAAAAAGAGTGGTGCGGAGCGGTGACGAGCGGTTTAAAGTGCTGTAAACGCGTCATGGATATTCTTCTCTGCTGCTCCCACGTACTTGTCCAGGATCTCAGGGCCGTTCACCACCTGGAGGGGTGCAAAAAGAGTGGTGCGGAGCGGTGACGAGCGGTTTAAAGTGCTGTAAACGCGTCATGGATATTCTTCTCTGCTGCTCCCACGTACTTGTCCAGGATCTCAGGGCCGTTCACCACCTGGAGGGGTGCAAAAAGAGTGGTGCGGAGCGGTGACGAGCGGTTTAAAGTGCTGTAAACGCGTCATGGATATTCTTCTCTGCTGCTCCCACGTACTTGTCTAGGATCTCAGGGCCAGTCACCACCTGGAGGGACGATAAGGAGTGGTGCAAAGCTGTGCAGAGCGGTATACAACATTGTAAACAGGTTGCGGTGCGGATGGATGTTCTTCTCTGTTGCCTATACATACCTGTCCCACCCACCATTAGCCACATCAGCCGCACAATCTACATTACCACCCGCCATCCCCCCATACCTCGGACTCCATGCCGTTCAGCAGCTTGCCTATCTGCTGCGCAATCAGTGACTTGCCCGTACTGGGGGGGGTGAGAGGTGGAAAGGAGAAACAGAGACCCACCCGCCACCAGCAGCGCAACCCCCACCAGAAGCCCCACCCACCCACCCAACCACCTGCCCACACTCCAGCCCACCATACCTTGGGCTCCATGCCGTTGAGCAGCTTGCCTATCTGCTGCGCAATCAGCGTCTTGCCCGTGCCGTTGGGGGGAGGGAAGGGAAGGACACGCACCAGAAACAACAGCACCCCCACCAGCAGCCACACCAGCCGCACCAAAGACACTCCCACCCTCCCCACCCCCCATACCTTGGGCTCCATGCCGTTGAGAAGCTTGCCTATCTGCCGCGCGATCAGCGTCTTGCCCGTACCAGGTGGACCATGCAGTAGCATTCCCTTCACGTGTGTAATGCCCAGGCTGGGGGATAGAGGGGGGGAGAGGGGGAGAGAGGGGGAGAGAGGGGGAGAGAGGGGGAGAGAGGGGGAGAGAGGATGGGGCGGGAAGATAGAGCAAGTGTGTAGTGAGCAAGTGTGCTCTGCAGCAGCATGCCCTTTACATGCGCGACGCCCAGGCTGGGGGGAAGATGGGGAGATGGCAAACAAGCATGGGCTGTGAGATGACGTGGCGACACGACACTGACAGCGAGATGATGTGGCGGCATGACACCCACAGTAAAAACCGCTTCCTTTCCTACCCATTGTATCAAGAGATGTTGTGACGTTGTGACAACACCTACCCACTGTATCATAACTTGCACTTTCCATCTGATAATGGCAGCACTTACGGGGAAAAGCGCGCGAGGCGAAGGCTCGGCAGAAAAGGACAGCAAAGCTGGCGTTCTTTCTCTTTTATTTTTACTATATGTATATATATACGTATACATATAAAAAAAACCCACAGTGTAATGCAATATATATATATGACAAAACCCACCGGGAGATGATGTGCGGTGGGAAGACACGGGAGGCGAAGGCTCGGCGGAAAATATCAGCAAACTGAGCATCGAGCCCGCCGATGCCGAGCTTCTCAAAGTTGAAATCCTTCTGCTTGAATAGCGCTGCCGCCTTGCCGCCCCCTGCCCTCATCTGATTCACCACCTGACGAGCACAGGGGAAGGTTAGCAAAGGGGAAGGGGAGGGGTACGGGCAAGGCAAGCCACAGGAGAGTCAGTATCGGGTGGAAACTTTTCCCATCTTAGCTCAGAGTATAAGTCATTCTGCTTGGATAGCGCCGCCGCCTTGCCGCCCCCTGCCCTCTGATTCACCACCTGATGAGCAGGGAGGGGAGGGAGCGGGAAAGAGAGGAGGGGAGGGGCGGGGAGGGGGAGGGAAGGAGGAGGGGAGGAGGAGGGAAGGGGAGGGTGGGAGAGCGGAGGGGTGGGGATCAGATGGGACGGGAGGGGACACTAAGAATCGCACCCCCTCGTGCTTCTTGAAAAGTGTTTTGGCTCTTGCGTCGACCCACACAGCTCACCTTCATCCCTGCGCCAGCAGCAGCCTCAGAGACAATATCCTAACCCACCTTGATCCCTAAGCATGCAGCAGCAGCAGCAGCAGCAGCAGCAGCTCACGTTGATGCCTGACCCAGCAGCTGCTTCATAAACGATCCCTTTCTGCTTCACCAGCAGCCCGCGTGTGGATGCAAACGCCCGCGCGCCCTCTTGCCCCTCAGGAGCTGGGAACTCCATGAGGATGACAGAGAGGGCGAAGTTGGCTGGCTGGTGCTGCGGCTGCAGCAGCTAGAGCTAGGACTAGAGCTGATCGACTCTAAAACCGACCCAGAAAAGAACCCACCTTGATGCCTGAGCCAGCAGCAGCCTCATAGATAATTCCCGTCTGCTTCACCAGCAGCCCTCTCGTGGACGCAAACGCCCGCGCGCCCTCCTGCTCTTCAAACGCTGGGAACTCCACTCCACGAGAATGACGGAGAGGGCGAAGTTGGTGGGTTGGTGCTGTGGCTGATAGAGTTCAGGCTAGAGCTAAAGCTAGAGGTAGAACTTATCGACTCTTGAGCCGACCCAGGAAAAAACCCACCTTGATGCCTGAGCCAGCAGCAGCCTCATAGATGATCCCCGTCTGCTTCACCAGCAACCCTCTCGTGGACGCAAACGCCCGTGCGCCCTCTTGCCCCTCGGGTGCTGGGAACTCCACGAGGATGACAGAGAGGGCGAAGTTGGCTGGCTGGTGCTGCGGCTGCAGCAGCTAGAGCTAGGACTAGAGCTCATCGACTCTAAAACCGACCCAGAAAAGAACCTACCTTGATGCCTGAGCCAGCAGCAGCCTCGTAGATGATCCCCGTCTGCTTCACCAGCAGCCCGCGCGTCGACGCAAATGCCCGTGCGCCCTCCTGCCCTTCGGGTGCTGGGAACTCCACGAGAATGACGGAGAGGGCAAAGTTGGTGCCGCGGTACTCAAAGGAGATCTTCTGCCCCACTGTCAGCACCTGCCCTGCAAAGCGCTTCAGCACATCCTTTGATAGCTCTGCTGCGTCTAGCTGTGCGGGATGAGGGAATAGGGAGAGGGGAACGGGAGAGGAGAAGGGAGAGGAGAGGGCAGTATAAGGAAGGAAGGCGAGGGGAACTCAAAGGAGATCTTCTGCCCCATTGTCAGCACCTGCCCTGCAAACCGCTTCAGCACGTCCTTTGAGAAGTCCGCTGCATCAAGCTTTGCAGGGGGGTGGGAGAGAAGGGAGAGGGAATGGAGGGGAGGAGGGGACGGGACAGCAGGTCTGAGGGGAGAGGAGAGGACAAGTCAAGAAAGGAGGCTGAGTGGAACACAAAGAAAAACTTCTGTCCCACTGTCAGCACCCGCCCTGCAAAGCGCTTCCGCACGTCCTTGCGAGCCCTGCTGCGTCCAGCTGCGTGGGGGAAAGGGGTAGTTTAGGGCAGGGGGGAGAGGGAGAGGGGAGCAGAGTAGATGAAAAGAGGGGAGCGGAGAGGAGAGGAGAGGAGAGGAGCGGAGAGGAGAGGAGAGGAGAGGAGAGGAGAAGAGAGGAGAGGAGAAGAGAGGAGAGGAGAGGAGAGGTGAGGAGAGGAGAGGAGAGGAGAAGAGAGGAGAGGAGAGGAGGAGGAGAGGAGAGAAGAAGAGAGGAGAGGAGAGGAACAAACGATATGAAAAGTGACCAGGCCAAACTCGAACCCGGCCAGCCAGATCTGGATGCAGTTCGGTTTGTTTATGCTGGCTCTCTAAGAAACGCACTCAACGAGGCTCCTTCCTTTCACTCACCTACCCATGGGGTTCGTTTCCTTGACCTAGAAACAACAAGAGTTGGTGGAAGTAAGGCCTCCACAGCCCACCTGTCCGCTACTGACAAGTACTGAATGCGGTTCGGGTTGAATGAACCTCATTCCACCAGAGCAAAGCGGATGGCCGAGGCCCGGCCAGCTCCCAAAAGGTCTGAGTTGGGCCGGTTTAGGTTCGGCTCGACTAGTGGCTGGACCTACATGGTTTGGCCCAGGCCGGTTTGGATTCAGCCCGACTAGGTGGCTAGATTGACTGGGTTCAACTCGGGCTGGTGTGCGTCCAGACGACCTATGACCACGCATAATACAAAAGAAGTCAGTAACGTGGAAAAGTCGGGATAATATATCTGAGATTCCTCAAGAATCAGATCGACTCAAGTGGGTGCGGTGCGGGTTAGACCCATGCCCATGCCTGATATAAAGAACGTCAGTAAAGAAAGAATACAGCTCCCCTGCTCTTCTCCCCAGTATCACTTAAATCAGATCAGCCTGTACATGGTTTTCGACTCACCTCCCTCACCTGCTCGGCTCGGCTCGGCCCTTGGAGTGAAAGTCAATCTCCAGAGTGGTTGACTGCAGCTCAAGCTCATGGGCGCGGGGAGGCAAACCCCACCAGTTCTTCTTATTTGAGTGCCCGACATGCTACAGTCTGCTGCGCTGTTTGAATCCCCTCCCTCACTTGCTCTTCTCACCTCTTGAGTCATCTCCAAACCCTCACCTGCTCAGCTCCGGCACGGCCCTTGGAATGAAAGTCAATCTCCAGAGTGGTTGACTGCAGCTCAAGCTCATGGGCGCGGGGAGGCAAACCCCACCAGTTCTTCTTATCGAGTGTCCGACAGGCTACAGTCTGTTGCGCTCTTTGAATCCCCTCCCTCACCTGCTCAGCTCTGGCTCGGCCCTTGGAGTGAAAGTCGATCTCCAAAGTGGTGGTTTGCAGCTCAAAGTTAATTGGCGGGGGAACGAACCTGGCAAGGGGCAAGGGCGGGCGGACAGGAGTACAGTACAGGAGGTGAGGGCGGGAAATAGTATAGTGAGGTGAGGGCGGGAAATAGTATAGTGAGGTGAGGGCGGGAAAGATTATAACGAGGCGACTTTTGAGTCAATTGCAGCTTGAAGTTCATAAGCAGCGGGACGAATCTGGTGTCCCGCTGGATTCGTCCCGCTGCTTAGGGAAGGGGGACACGGGGACCAGAGAGGAGATGCGGAAAGAGGAGAAGAGGGGAGAAGAGGTAGGGAGAAGGGGAGAGGGACGGGGAGGATCGAGAGGGAGAGGAGATGAGCGGGTGAACACGGAAAGAGAAAACACCAAACCTTGTAAAGACTTTGCAAGCATTGGGTTGACCTAAACTTCACCCTGTCTGTTGCCAAAGGTGATTTATCTCCCATCCCATCCCTATCTCCCTGCCTTCCCACAAGCACCCTGTTTTCGCCCCTTGTCTCCCTTATCACTCCTTCCTCCCCCCAGGCACCCTGTCTCCCTTACCTCCCAGCTGTCGCCACCACCTACCTCCCCACCGGCACCCGGTCGCCCGCAGAGACGCGCGCGTTGCGGCGCTGCACGGAGTTGAGCGCTACGGCCCCCACCTCCCCCTTACCTCCCAGCCATCTACACCACCAACCTCCCCGCAGCCACCCTGTCGGCCCCCCCTGCCGCTATCACCGCCACCCACCTCCCCACCGGCACCCGGTCGCCCGCAGAGACGCGCGCGTTGCGGCGCTGCACGGCGTTGAGCGCCACGGCCCCCACCTCCACGCCTTCGTGCGCTGTGATTGGTCGAAATCCGCCGTCAGTAACCGATGATTGGACAGAAAAGCGCGACGAAGGCACGCCACCGCAATAGAGTGGGGGTCGAAGTTAAGGGTAACTAGAGCACAGAGAAAGAGGAGACGGGGGTAGTGCAAAGGGGGAAGCTGGGGGTAACAAGGCTGGGGGAGCAAGGGAGTGGAGACGACAGGCGGGCATAGGTCGAAGTGTAGGAACGGATAGGACACCAAACACGGAAACGGCGGCAGGAACGAAGGTAAGAAAGATTGAAGCGAGCCTGACAAGAAGGGAAGGATGCAGCGGATACGCGAGGGAGCGCGCAAAGACAGACCATGACAGACCATGCGAAGAGACAGGTTACGAAAAGACGGAACTAGACTAAGATTGCGACGGGAGGGACGCGGTTGAGAGGATATGCAACGGTGAGGATGTTTCCTCCGATCTCGATGAATCCGTGCGGGCTGCCTTGGAACGCTGCGAAGCACGGTAACTCCGTTCGCGAAAGGAATGCGAAGTTCGTCAACGCGAGATCTGGCGACGGACAGTTGACAACTTTCAGGCTCTCGGGGACCGCTGCAGCAGCCATAGGTGCTCCCGCGCCGTAAGCTGCCGGCTTTCCCACCGGCGCCACGGACGCGCCGCCTCGAGACCACATGTGAACTAAGCGTCAATCGCTTAAGACTCGTCGCTAGGAGCAACGCAAGTGACCAACAAGCAAACGAAGCTTAGAGCGAGGAATCAGGCGGAATCACTAACAATTCTGACAATCAAACTTCGAGGAGATGGTTGCGTGAATACGAATCTGAGCTGGGGATCAGAAAGGGGTACGTTTCCAGAGAGAGTGTATGCGTTACATGGTGGCCGTCCTTGACCAAGGATGGAATCTCGAGGTTTGGTGCCTCACGACGACTTGAACCTAGAAATTGGATACTGCAATTATTGGGGATAGGTGGTGGACTTCGGTTCGGACCCTTGTATACACATTATCATGGGTAATTGAATGTATACAAATGACCTTTCCAAATGTAATTGAATAGTATGTAGCTGGGTGTGTACATACAAATGACCTTTCCAGCATGGGATGGCCCGTTGACTTAGAGGGAGCTTAGAAATTTGATCCGCTATTGATGCCATGAGGCTGTTCTGTGTAAGATTATTTTGGAAACATGTACATATGGTACTTAAACCAACGTGGGGTACATTTAGAGCTACTCAGTATCAGACTTAAATGACATCTCTGTCAGGCTGAAATTCATGTTACTGAAGCTACCTATACAGAGGTACAACAGTTAAACCTTCCTTTCTGACCCAAGCCGCAGACATGTGCTGTATTTCTCGGACCGTCCATGTCACGTGGCCAGAGTGTCAGCCTTGTGGGCGGGCGGGTGGGTGTGCTTGAATACCGTAGACCAGCTTTTCGACACATACCCGCTGAAAGCATGGCGTGGCGGCTGAATCTGCTGAAAAAACAGCCACCTCTGTAAAAAAACTCGCATGTACAGTAGCTGCAAGCACGAAACAAGTGGCCAGCGCTTTTTGCCTTTTACACGTGGCTCTGTTCACAAGTAGATCTTGTGTGGGTTGGGATGGGTTGGGGTAGTTTCAGAAAGATCCTGCGGCTGCCAGCCTTTTTGTTAGCTCACATCACAACAACAAAGCCGTTGCTGCTGCACGTCCAGCCATTCCTCGATTTTCCCCAACCCAGCCGCCATTATTTCCTTACTAGCTTTCAAAACAGGAAGATCCTCTTAGCTCACCTACCTCCCCCGAACAAGCCACCCCACTTGAAGCCGACCAACCAACCTCCGCGAGCCGCTGCGCTGTCCAATGTCCGATCGCGTTTCCTCCTCCTCCCACCGCCAGCTTCGCTCTCGGACCCTCGCGTCGCGTCTGACGAGGAAGTATGGAGCAGTACAAAAAGGGAATGGAGTTTGTCTCTCGATTATCCAGCTCTCTCACAGATCGAAACACCATCTTCGATTACTTGCTCCTCATCCGCGAATAGTTCGATTCCAAATCATCTCATCCTCACCGTCGCCGATCGTCTAAGTCGTCGCACCACAGCCGTACGATGAAATCCTTCGCATCCATCGTCTTCCTCGGCCTCCTCATCGCCGCTCTTTGTAAGAGACAACTTTCAATTACTAGGGTGCTCAAATCTCGTAAGGTTACTCGATTGCGCTGCATGTTACTCAACTCATCATTGCATCATTTGTTTGATTGTTTTTGTTTTGATTATTTTTCCTTTGTTTTGATTTTATTGAAATTGGCGTTCATCCTACAAGCGGAGGCCCTTGCTCTCATCCTTGTCATTTGTTGATGTCGACGCCGTGGGGTGGATGCAGGTTGTTCCGTCCAGGCCCATGGCTACGATCGCGGTGGACGCGGCGGGCGGTTCCGCTGGCCCATTCTCATTGGTGAGTGGCCACACCCTTCCGCATCAGTTCGCCATCGTTCTGATGTAGTTTCAGTCGACCTAAGCTTCACCCAGGATTCGATTATATTTTTTTCTCTTTCTTTCTTTTCAATAACATTTTTTCACACTAGTTTCTTCACAGCGTTTCTTACCTTGTTCTCGTTTGCGATGTCTGTTGGTTGCGTGGAATGCAGCATCCGGCGAGTCTTCACTGAAGTCTTGCCCCCCTCGCGTCTATGGCGTCAGGGGATCTGCTGCGCTCAAGAACTATCAGTCCCAGTAAGTCCCTCCTTCCCCCACCTCTTCCCAACCACCCCGCCCTCCCCGCCCTCCCCAACCACCCAACCCCTTCCCCTTTTCTCCTCCTCCCAACTCCCCCCCCTTCCCCTCTCCTTCCCTTTCTTATCATCACAACAAATTCTCCCCATTTCGTCAGTTACGGTAAAGCCTGCACTCCATGGTGCTTCTTTTCTGGTTCCAACATTCCTTTCTCCCCGTATTCTTAATTCCTTTTCCCCGCTCTCGTTATACTCCCCTTTCCTTCAGGAACGGATCTTTGACCCTCACCTATCAGCTGCTTGTTACGGGAATCACTTCGCCTCCCACGTCGCAGTCCGTCGTAACCGCCGGCACCAGTACTCCCTGCGACGCGCTGGCAACCCTAACCACTGTTACGGATCTTCCCGGCACCTGGACTCCCACCTATGTTCGCTGGGGCACGGCTTACACTCTGTACGGCACTATGGACGGCGCGGCGCTTATGGCCGGTCTGCAGAACACGGGTAACCGCCGCCGCGCGCCCAAGATGTTCATCGTCTTCCAGGGTAACGGGACGATTTCTGGGAAGCTGAGCTTTTGGTAGAGTCCACCTGGGTTCGCTGGGGCACGGCGTACACTCTGTACGGCACTATGGACGGCGCGGCGCTGACGGCCGTTCTGCAGAACACGGGAAACCGTCGTCGCGCGCCAAAGATGTTCGTCGTGTTCCGTGGTGACGGGACGATCACTGGGAGGGTGAACTTTTGGTAGACTCTCGTCTAAGGCTGCACCGTGGTAACGGACGATTGCTGGGAAGCTGGACTTTTGGTAGACTCTCGTCCGCGTTTGTGGCTGAATTGCTTCTTTGATATGTTATGTGGCTGGGTCGCGGCTGGGGGACAGCGTTGCGTACATTCAGGCTGTTCTGGGATCTCTCCAGAACAGGCTGAATGTAGACAACAGTTGTGGATAGTTCTTTGTATGGGTATGAAATAAATACAATTTTGGAGTGTATTTGTCACGAACCCTTCCGCATCCAATGTTACCGTACCATGGTCAGCTAGCAAGGTGGCCTTGCTTCATCCTCTGCTCATGCCACAACAATATCATCCTCTGGTTCATTGAATCATTGCAATTGCAATGCAACCTCTTCAAAGTGCCAAACTCTCTCCACTCCAACCTATGCATGGAGTGGCATGTCACATGAGTTCACTTTATTGCGGTGAAGTGGGATCTTGTGCATATCAGCGCGGCTCATTTACAGTTGTGTGCGTTTGGGTAGGATTTCGGGCAAAAATGAACACCATATGTGTCAAATGTTAATGTTATGATAGGCTGCAGTGAGGCACTCCCTAGAGGGTACAACATTTGTAGGACTCCTATTTGTATGCTTGCAAACCCTAATCCCAACCATTCCGTTGCATGTAGATTCTGAGATGGTATCACGAGTAGGTATCGATCCTCCCTCCCCGCCCTAGCCGGCGCGCCCTCCGTTCCGCGCCCTCGCGCCCTCCGTAGCGCCTAGCGCCCTCCGCGCCCTCCGTCACGCCTAGCGCCCTCCGCGCCCTCCGCGCTCCTAGCGCCCTCGCGCCCCTTAGCGCGGCCCTCAGCCCGCCCCACGTCGCGCCCCTTAGTGCGCCCCTCGGCCCGCCCCTCCGTGCCCTCCGCGCCCTCCGCACGTTCGTGCCCTCCGCGCCCTCCGCACGTTAGTACCCTCCGCGCCCTCCACGCCCTCCCCCTGCCCGTCGCGCCCTCCCCCCTGACCGTCGCGCCCTCCCCCTGCCCGTCGCGCCCTCCCCCTGCCCGTCGCGCCCTCCCCCTCCCCGTCGCGTCGCCACCCCTCCCCTTCCCCTCCCCGTCGCGTCGCCTCCCCTCCTCCTGCCCGTCGCGTTCGCCTCCCCTCCTCCTGCCCGTCGCGTCGCCTCCCGTCCCCCTGCCCGTCGCGTCGCCTCCCCTCCTCCTGCCCGTCGCGTTCGCCTCCCGTCCCCCTGCCCGTCGCGTCGCCTCCCGTCCCCCTGCCCGTCGCGTCGCCTCCCCTCCTCCTGCCCGTCGCGTTCGCCTCCCCTTCCCCTGCCCGTCGCGTCGCCTCCCTTCCCCCTGCCCGTCGCGTCGCCCTCCCCTCCCAATCCCGTCGCCCTCCCTTGCCCGTCGCGTCAACCTCCCCTCCCCGCCCATTTCCCACCGTCAGATCCTCCTCCCGCCCATTTTCACCGTCGCATTCGGCCTCCCCGCCCCTCTCTCACTGTTCATCACCTTAGCCCCACCACCGCCTTGTGCGCGGGGCCCTCCCCAGCTCTGCTGACACTGGTCTATCCCTCAGCGGCTGGAAGCCGCTCTCTCTCGCCGGTCACCTAGGTTAGAGCCGTTTTAGCCGCTCATACCTCGCTCCTCGCACCTGTAGCTGGCGATCCACGATTTCACGCCTAGTCTAGGTCGCTCGGTACTCCTAGTCTCTCGCTCCGCCGCTTTCTCTCCTGGCGCTCCGTAGTTTTCCTCCTCGTTCTTAGCTCCGCCTCCGCCGTGCTCCAGCCGCCTCTAGCATGGGCTCCGCTATGGAGGCCCGTCGCCTCCGTTTCGATGCGGAGGGACGCCCAATCGAGTTCGGTACCTGGCAGCGCCAGACCACACGCTTCCTCACCAGCCAGCGACAGGACGGCGCCACTCTGTGGGCTCACGCGTCTGGTGCCCTACAGGCCCCCTCGTCCCCCGCCGCCCTGCCGACCACCCCGGAGCCGACCCCTACGGCACAGGCGGACTACGACCGTCGGGTCCTGGCCAGGGACGTGTGGCTCTCGCGTGACGCAGCCGCCGCTCTCACTCTGTCGGAGCTTCTCCCCCCGACTGAGGCCGCCCACTTTGACCAGGTGGAGACTGCACAGGGGGTTTGGGAGGCTATTGTTGCTCACTACTCCACCCCCTCCTCTGCCTCCCTCAGTCGCCTCCTCATGCCGTTTGTGTTTCCCGACCTAGGCTCGTTTGCGACTGTTTCCGACCTAGTGACTCACCTCTGCTCGCTTGACGCCGGTTTCCGCGCTGCCTGTACCGACGCACAGCTTCTAGTTGCTCCCCCCCCCATGTGGCTCACTGTTCACTGGTTAGTCACCCGCCTCCCTGACCGCCTTGCCACTGCCCGCGACGCGCTTCTTCAGAAGCACCCCACTGAGCTCACTATCGACCTCCTAGCGACTGCTCTAGGGACCATCGAGAGCAGTCTCCTCACCGTTGCCTCCGCCACTGATGCGGTGGCCCCCCGTCTCTTTGCGGGGTGTGCCGCCCCTCAGCTTCCCACTTTCACCGCTACCCGCGCCTCTGCTGCTGTGTCGGTCTCTGAGGACACTGCTGCCGTTTCTGCCGCAGACTGGCAGAAACGGGGCAAGAGCGGCAAGAAGGGCGGGAAGGGGGGGGGGGTGGGGGCGGAGGCGGCGGCGGTGGAGGGGGCGGTGGAGGAGGCGGTGGAGGTGGGAGCGGCGGGGGTGGAGGTGGCAGCGGCGGCGGTGGTGCACCGGGAGGAGGGGGCCCTGGAGCGGGCGCCGGACAGCCGGGCCCTCCCACTGGTGGAGGCCCACAGCAGCAGCAGCCACAGCGGTACCCACAGCAGCACCCGCCACAGCAGGGACAGCAGCAGCAGCAGGGACCGCAGCAGCAGCAGGCACCCCAGCAGTGGGGGCCCCCGCTGCAGTGGGGTCCGCAGCAGCACTGGGGTCCCCCGCCGCAGTGGGGTCCGGGCGGCCCTGGGAGCACCAGCCGCAGCAGCAGTACTTCCAGCTGGGCCCCTCGCCCCCCTCGCCGTGACGCTGGCCCGTGCACCCACTGGTGCGTCACCGGGCCGGGGAGCCCCTGTCTCTGTGGTCGCGACGACCACTCTGCCGCGCGGTGCTTCCGCCGCCTCGACGACCTCTACCGGGCTCGTTGGGGCCCTCTGGCGGTCACGCCTCGCTGGTCTCGTCTGTTAGCCCGTAAGATTGATGTCTTTGATTTGTCCATGGACGATGCGCGTCAGCATGCTTTGTATGTTGATGCTGACTTTAGTGCTGATGGATCTGTGTGCTCGCGTGTTCGTAGGTTAGCCTGCTTGCCTCCTGCTAGTGTAGCCTTGTGACTGTCTAGCTTAGGTGCTTGTGTTGCTGCTCTAGGTGCTTGTGTAGCGACTGGGTCAGGTGACCCGCCGGCTGAGGCCTCTCTGTCGTTCACGCTGGACTCGGGCGCGTCTCAGTGCTTCTTCCGCGACCACACGATCCTTACACCACTCCTCACACCTGTGTCGGTGGCTCTGGCTGATCCTACCTCTGGACCAGCCGTTGCGCGTAGCTCCACCACCCTCCCGTGCCCTGTGGTCCCCTCTGGTGTCCTGCGCGGCCTCCACATCCCCTCGTTCACTCGGAACTTGGTGGGTGTTGGATACCTCCAGGACAGGGGGATCACGGTTACCTTCGTGGGGGGTGGGCGGACTGCAGTCTGTACAGACGCTACCACAGGTGCTGTTCTGGCCACGTTCACCAGGGAGCCCCGCTCCGGTCTCTACGTTCTCCACACCGAGCGCTCCCCGGTCGCGTCCTCCCCTCAGGTCGTTGCGTCCCCTCCAGCCCAGGTCCCCAGTCCAGTTTGCTGTGTCTAGCCAGGTAGTAGTGTCCGGTCCGGTCGCTGTGCCCAGTCCAGTCGCGGCGTCTTGCTCCTGTCGCTCTCTCACCCACCGCACCGTCCTGTGGCACCACCGCCTTGGCCACCCGTCGCTCCCTCGCCTACGTGGCATGCTCAGTCAGGGACTTGTCTCAGGTCTCCCACGCACCTTCCCGTCGCTCCCTCTCTCGCTTGCCCCTCCTTGCTCTCCGTGCGTCGCCGGTCGCTTACGCGCCACTCCCCACTCCTCCTCCCTTCGTCCAGCCACCGCTCCCTTCGAGACTCTCCACTTGGACGTCTGGGGCCCTGCCCCGACGCAGGGGTCTGGGAGGGAGCGTTAGTTTCTGGTGGTCGTTGACGACTTCTCCAGGTACACCACAGTGTTCCCTCTTGCGAAGAAGTCC